CATTATCAAACAATTACAAGGCAAACTTTCAAAATAGTTGTTACTTGTATTACCATAATTGCTTGCCAAACTTCCTCTTCAAACGTGTTGGTGCTAAATGCATTCTACGACTATTTACTGATGAACAGAACAATTTATATTCGCTCAGACAATTACATTTGATGCGCTATCAACAAAAAAATAATATTAAGGGAAAGTTCCCAGTGGTTGACTGTATACCACAGTTTACAAAAAACTGGCAATGAATGAAACGTTTCTGGTGTAAATTTATACCATTTATAAAATTACTAAAATAGTGAAAATATCCAAAAGGATTAAAATTTTCATCAGAACGTTTTCGGTATTATCAGACCGTCATTAGCATTTGCAAACAGCCACTTTAAAAAGTGTAACAACCTTTGGATTACTCGAAAAAAGTAATGTTTTTAACATTGTTCTAAACTATCGCCAATCCTGGTGTTATCTCTACGAACAAAAATTCACACGTCAGAGTATGCATAGGAAGCAGTCACCGAAGCCTACAGGTGTTGGTCTTAACATTCAACATAAAATATAATGTGGAATGTATTATTTTATTACGAGGAAAAACTTCTCTTAGATTTCAAAAAATCTGGACCCGACATTAACACATTGAGTGCCACTATTGACAAAAAAAATCTGTCAGTGGGGCCAAATTTTATTTCTTAATTTTTAAATGAAAATAACCATAAATAACATTTTGTGCTATTAAAAATTGAAAAGAAAATAAAAAACCTGCAATTTAATAAAAAAAAAAACAAAAATGGTGACACGTTGGTCTCAAGCGGCCTCTGAGTTTCCATTTTTGCTTTCGGGCCATATGAGATCAATGTGTCACCACACCATGCTGATGTCATATATTCACAGTTCAGTTGTTGTTAAACTTTTGGTGAGTAAAGATGTCTATTTTTGAGAAAGAACAGCTGTGAAACCCTGTGTCATGTTGCTTGCAACATGTAGAAACGGATATTTCATTGCGACTTTCATTACTACATCTTATTATTTTGGTACTCTGTGTCAGTGTCGCTTTTGCTTCGGATATTTTCGAGATCTTATTGTTCACTCCAAAAACATTCATTGTTATTTGTGTTTCTAATATTGGCAATAGTTAAGGTAGATATACAGATTCAAGATTCTCTCTGTAAAAGTGTATTGTTATTGGCTACACGTTTTTAATTAAAAAAATATATCCAATGGCAATGCAAAATTTTTAATTTTAGACTTTATAATTTTAGTGACATTTTTGTCTTGGTATTACTAAGTATTTTGCAATTTAATTTATTTTAAAAGTAATTTATTTAGTAGGTAAGGTATACTGAGTGATAATGTTGCCTGTGAACAATATGAACGTATTAGCTTTTGAGGATGAGGAGAGGTTAAGAGTATTAAGAAACTTTAACATTAATAGGCGTTTACTTAGAGATTAAAGTGATCCTTTCAATGAACTAACAGATTTTCAGTTTAAAGGATTGTATCGTATAACCAAAGAGATATATTAAATGGAATCATGCAAAATATGGTCATCCATAATAATGTTGTGGCAGTTCCAGTTGCAGTAAAGTTTTTTGATACCCTCCAATTTCTTGCTACTGGTAGCTACCAAAACACTATAGGTCAAAATTTACAATTAGTGTCCCAACAAATAATGTCTAGGGCAATAATTTTAAAATAATTGAAGCCATTATTGAGACATTTGCAAATAAAATCAAATTTCCTAACTCCATTAAAGTGAAAAATACCAAAAAAATAAGATTTATACGATACGGTTATACAATATACGACACGATATTTACATATAAATAAACCGCTAACTCTAACCTAAATTTTGAACGCTTTTACCGATTAGTTGTATCTCTTTCTAACCAATGCGTCCAATTATCAAGCGACGTGTGTCTCTCTCTAAAACAACACGTCTGAAGGTGTTGAGTGGAAGCGAGGCCACAGCTACAAATAAGTTGATACAAAACGACAATTGACCCCTTGAAATGGAAGACAGAGTACGACACGTATCGTTTTTTGGCGACTATTGATATCAACATAACACAGGGTTTACCTACAGCAACGTTTAGAAAAGTTATTACAAGAATGTTTTTCTGACGAAGAGGATGTGAACGATTTTGAACCCGACGGAGCATCAGATGAATTTGAACCCGAATCAGAGAACGAGTATGACTCTGATTCATTAGAATATCAGCCATGCAAGAAGAAGATTTAACAAAAATATGTGGCACAAAACGCATTGCCAATTTACACGAATTGAACTTAGGTACATCGACATCTAGTGAAATTATCCAACCAGTCAATAAACAACACAATATAGCAGATACCATTGAAGCTGTTATTCAACAAATGCAGGTTTCTCATCAAGTGACGAAGAAGAGGACCAAGAAGTTACTAATGCTACATATGTCTGGCAGCCAGTCAGTGGCAATTTGATTTTGTGGCAAACGAAAATGGTAGTTAAATTCGAGCGGAATTGTATGAAACTATGTACAATAAAACTCAATACGATTTTTACAAATTGTTTGTATATAAGGATATCATAAGCTTAGTGGTAATAGGCAAAAATTATTTTTTTGGATTTTTTAATTATTTTTCTACTTTTAGGTGACTGAAACTAATCGCTATGCTGACCAGTGCATTGAGAAAAACGATTATCCTAATTCTCGCGTAAAATTCTGGAAACAAACTCAGATGAAATAGAAAAACTATTCGGAATTATTCTTTGGGTAGGTTTATGTCCATTTCCTGAAGTGAGGAGCTATTGATCTCAAGACAAAATATATAGTAATTATATCTGCACAGTTATGCCTCGTAACAGGTTTCAACTTTTACTCAAGATGCTCCATTTCAGCAATAATGCAATTTTGTCAGACGACAGGTTGCAAAAACTGACCCCTATTAGAAAAATTGAGAATTACATTTCAGAGCTCGATTGTACCTTCAGAAAATATATGTATGGATGAAACGTTAGTTCCATTTAAAGGACGGCTAAAGTTTTTACAGTATATCAAAAACAAACGCCATAAGTTTGCATTAAGTTGTTCAAGTTATGCCTTGAAAAGGGTTATACCCATAACTTTACTATATACTGTGGTAAATCCAAAAACGAGCAAATGCCAGTTCCATCCAAAATTGTCATTTATACTCCATCTAATTTACTTACCGTTGCACGTCATTATCACTGACAGAGATCGAAGTTGACATAGTTGCCAAAGTATAAAAAAATCCTGACTCCCTTTTAAATCAAATAAGACACATAATTATTGCAAAAGTATTACCATCTCTTTAGAACGACTATTTAAATTCTTACGTGACATTTTTGAAAGAAAACACACTCATTTTATTAAATAGGTAAAAACATAAAACAAGAGGTATTCACTTTAAAATTCAAAATATATATCAATAAAGTATTGATAAAATAATATATATATATATATATATATATATATATATATATATATATATATATCAATAAAGTACAAAAAGTGTCAACACCGCAACTGTCAAATAAGTGTTACCAATTTATGCCAAAATATCACCTTCGTTCGATTACAGTTACAGTGTGTTCCGAACGAATGTTCTTGATACAAACGCTTTATAATGCATTTATACAAATTAAATGAAACATAATTATTGTGTATTTCTTTAAGTTAACATTAACAAAAATCTTTAAATATTATTTCTACGTGTATATAATAAATTATGTCTAGAGGCTGTAATGCCAGTGTACTCGGCAAAGTGATTCTAAAAAAGAACACACCTTTCGCCTAAATATATTGTGTAGGTATCATGTGACCTCACGGACTATGACGCGGATGACGTGCAACGGTAAGTAAATTAGATGAAGTATATCTAATGGACAATCACTTTGACAAAGGACGCACACTTTACACGGATAATTGGTATACCTCTTGCATGTTAGCAACTGAATTATTAAAGCGAAATACCCATCTTGTAGGAACATTTGTGTAAACCAAAAATTCAACTCAGAAGATGTTATTAAAAAAAAAGGATGAAACGGTTGCTGCTGAATGTAAGGAAGGAATTGTGGTACAAAAATGGCGCGATAAACGCGATGTTCTGTGTCTAAGTACTAAGCACACGGCTGAGATGGTTCCAGTGAAGAAAAGAAAACAACACATTTTGAAGTCAAAAATAGTTATAGATTATAATAAATGTAAACATTTATTGATCTATCCGATCAAGTGAAAGCCTAGAATACTTCCTTAAGGCGAAGCTTAAAATGGTACAGAAAGCTGGAGTTATAACGGGAACACGTCTTGTAAATGCTTAAATTGCTCATCAAGAAATAGCCAATGTCAATATGTCAATTACTAAATTTAGAGAGGAAGTTGTAAAGGGACTATTGCGAGAAGGTAAACACATTGGTATCACACAGCAATTACGTCCCAGAAATGGACGAGGCCACGTTGGTCTCATTTGGCACTCAACGTGTTAAGGAGTGATAAAATTTTTCTGTATGACAATGCTCTATACCAGTAGGAATATCTGATATAAATAGCATTTACCAGTAAACTGCCTTACGGAACTCCAAACTGAATTGGAAATTTCATCATTGGCTTTTACATGAATTATCTGACATAAAGATATGATTCCAGTAGTCAATAGAAGGTTATAATAAAAATTACCTTGTACATTTATTTTTAGAGTATCGATTTCCAATCCGGAAATCGTTTAAAAAAATATTATTATAAAATAAGTGTAAGTAATTATAACTAAGCATAAATAAGAGTTATTTAACCTGTAGTTATACAACAAATAACCATATTTTGAGTTAAAATTCTAAGGGTGATGATGTACCCTGTTGCTGAGAACCATATTCAGAATGAAAAAATAAATTCAGATTTTTTTAACAGGTACCTACAATCTGGTAAATATTGTAGTTTAATCATGCAAATAAATAGTTCAAATGTTTGAGTTTTGTAAAAAATATATTATACATTAAAACAGTTACTTACATGACCATAGAAGAATTTTTCATTATTCGGCCACATGGTCCAAATTGTTGAACAGGCGATGGTGCATTCAAAGATCTGGTTCTCCTGAAATAAAAATATTTCATTAAAAACATATATCAATATTAATATTTACATGGCTATAAAGGGTGAATAAGAATAAACAATGGGTACAGACTACAAATTACAACTAGGGCGGCTCTCTGTGACCACTACAGATCTATTGTGCTTCACTTTATCGCTTAAAGCTCCTCACCCAGCCCTATTCTCTTAACAAGCTTTCACTGACTTAAAAGGGGTCCTTTTAAATAGACTTAAGCTTTTGGTTGTTCCTTTCCGAGTTCTAGATACCTCAGAATACAGAACAGTTTCTTCTTCTGAAGAATAGTTAAGAAAATAAGAACTAATAAAAAAATAGAGCACTTTCAGATCTTAACATTCAATACACAAGTTTATCAGGTTGACTGTTAACTTGCCATTTGTGCTACAGGTGCAACCCCCTTTTTGGGGGTTAATTAATATCTTTTTAAGTATTTCACACCATTTTTAACCTGAGTACCTATGTTGGTACTCATGGCCCCACGAGTTATGTTTTTCTCAGGGGCCATTAGCGGACACACAATAAAATACTATATTCTATTATTTATCGACCTGCAGATTTCTGTAAACTAAAATTGGTAATATTTTGGGTTGCTAACGATAGATGTCTATCCTATTAGTATTGGAAAATATAGAAAAAGCTTTTTGCCAGTTCTAACAGGTATTTTAGTTGCCTGTTGTTGCTTTCCGATACAGTCGCGATTGTAAATTATTGTAACAATGGATTTCAAAGAAGAGAAGAGATTACTACATTTGTTTGAGACTGTAGAGTTACGAAGCGGATCATGGTCTATTTCGGAGTTTTATGACAGTGTATGCACTAAACAGTGAAGATTCTCACAGTGAGATTGAAATTAGTGAAAATGAAGTTTTGAGCTAGCACCTGAGAATGTTCCCATATCTGAAGATTGGCAAATACCTGATCATCGAAGGATTAAAAATATAAATTATAATTTGATTTACAAAGAAGTAGGTGTAAACCCCGATCTAACAGAAACAATGCAAGATGCCAGCCCTTTTGATTTCTTTTGTTTTTATTTTTTTATGAAGAAGTGGCACTTATCCCTGTTAGTAAATCAAACAAACAATTATGCTCAAAAATGTCTTAAAAGATCCAATATAAAGAGGAGTGCAAGAATTAAATGCTGGATACTGACAAATCGACAAGAAATGCATACCTTTTTAGGCATACTTATGTGGATGGGTTTGGTAGAAATGCCCTCTCTGGCTCATTATTGGAAAAACACAGTTATATAATAGCAAACTGACAGACTACATGGCTAGAAACCGATTGGAGTTGATTTTAAGGTACTATTATAACATTTTATATTTTAGGTTTTAATTACTAAAATATATATTTATTTTCAGCATGTTTCATATTTCGGATAACTCAACACAAGCTCCAGGAGATCGTCTTCACAAGGTTCAGTCCCTTATTGACTTGCTAGTGGATAAGTTGAATCACTGTGTAATTCCCGAAATGTCACTGTGCATAGATGAGTCGATGGTACCATTTTAAGTTAGGCTAAGTTTTAGGCAGTACCTGCAAAACAAAAGGCACCGGTATGGGGTTAAAATTTTTAAGTTGTGCACCGACCCTTTGTACACTTTGCAGTATAAAGTTTATGCTGGAAAGGAAGCTCAGCCTGGTACATCTGTATCCTCTAAAGTAGTTATGGAATTAATGGAGCCATATTTAGATTTTGGTAGAACACTATATGCGGACAACTGGTATAATAGTGTCACTTTGGCAGAAACATTACTGGATAGACAAACCTTTTTATTAGTAGGGACACTTCGAGCCAATAGGAAACGCAATCCAACTGATGTAACTAAAATAAAACGAAAAAAAGGTGATATTGTTGCTAGGCAAAATTATAATGGTGGAATGGTTTTAAAGTTAAAGGATCGGCAATATATGCTTGCTATAAGTTCGAAGCATATGCCTTCTATGGTAAATGTGATACAAAAAAAGAGAATACAAACTTAAACCACAGATTATAGTAGAATATAATGCAGGAAAATTCTTCATAGATGTATCGTATCAAATGAATTCGTATAATTCATTTTCAAAGAGGTCATTGAAATGGTACCGAAAAGTTGCCTTTGATATTTTACTAAATGTTGCCGTTGTGTTGCCTTTATTCTAAAGTGACAACTAAATCAATGAAAATAACAGAATGTAGAGAGCCGATTATCGAAAATATGCTTATTAAACGCGATTGTGTAATGCCTGCTAATAATTTACACAATTTAGTAAAATGTCTAAAAATAAACCGCTGCAACCAATGCTATAATTAGGGATATTGTTAACAGGCATGGAAGCCAAACACCACAAAAGGACAAAGGTCCCCGTGTGTGGACAAAGTGTTTTGCTTGCGCGAAATATTTGTATTCTGACTGCTTTTTTAAGATGCATTCTGCCAAACTACAGTAATTTTTCTTTATTAGCATTTATGTTAAGTTGTCGACTATTTTTTTGTATCGTTTTTTAGAGTTGCGCTATTTGTTAAATAAATATTTAAGCCAAAAAAGCGTTTTTATTACACTTTGATAAACGACCTTCATAAAAAGAGTATAATACCATCTAGCCAAAGGCTAAAATCATGGAATGGTTTTCTGAGGCCAAAACTTCACATTCTTTATATAAAATATACAAGCTGAGTGACTGCTTACATACACGGTATGCAGTTTTGTAAGTTATACTGAGTACTACATATGGTTCTCAATATTTGAACTTATCTTCTGGACTGAGTGCCATATGTGGTACTCCAATGACTCTTTGGCAATGCAGGGAAAAGAGGCTGGCAGTCAAACTGTTATAGAAATACCTTCAATTATATTACAGACATACTGCTTAATAATTGTTACTAATACGAGTATAATATTAGTCACTATAGAATGTAGTCAATCTGACCAATCAAGTAAACGATCAGTAAGCAATTTTGTTCTAACCTAACGTATGTTCAATTCAAGATTAAGATCCTACCTATTAGTGTATATTTAAGTTTAATTTCTACTACTAACAACTTATGTTTAACTTTGACAGTCACTAAATTAATTCAAAAAGGCTTGATCCTCTTGAGTCTTCTTACCAAATGAGTATAATCATGAAGCTGAATATAAGCAGGTGTTTTTACATCTTGAGCTCTACGAAGATCTTCTGTTGTGATAGTACTTAGATGGATCGATGATGTTTTTTAGAAAGTTATTCTGAAATAATTCTTTTCTCCGTAATTCAGTAAAAATGATACACTCACCGGCACGAAAAACGGAGTACTTGCATTTTTAAAATAAAAACTTAAAATTTTAATCCTCTTTAAAATTGTATTAATATAATAACGTAAACACAAACGAAATAAACGATTTTAAGTCATTTCTAATACAAATTTAACTTTTGTACAAAGAACTGTTTTAGTAGATAACAATTTAAAAAATGAGGAAAAAATGTAAGTAAATATTTTAACAAAATGACGTTCATAAATCATTTGTCCGGACAAACTGGTTTTAATAATGGATGTTTCCTTCGTGTGCTTGAATTATTGCTTGAAAAATCAAATGAGAAATGTCCTGTTGAGGAATAAGTTCCCATTCCTCCAAAATGGCTTTTTGCAACTGGTTAAGGTTAAAGAGGCAGGAACACGACTTTGTATCCTTCGCCCAAGCATATCCCAAACATGTTCAATTGGGTTTCTGTCTGGACTTAATGCTGGCCAATCCATTACAGGGATGTTTACTTCATTTAAAAACTGTTGAGTGATTATTGCACTGTGTGCTTGGCATTATCATGCATCAGAACAAAGTCATTTCTAACAAAACAAGCATAAGGCACAACAAAATCTTGGAGAATTTCATCAATGTACCTGGCAGTTGTTATAGAGCCTCTCGGAACGATGTACAATTCTAAAGATATAACACCTAATTCAACTTTATGTCAAAGCTTATTTACAATCTCAAGTTCACCCATAACATTTTTTTGAACCTATTCTCTATCCTTCCATTGTTGGATATAGGTCTCCCCCAGTTCTCTCCATCTTTCCCTATCTTAAGCAGTGCTCTGCCATGTGGGACCTCCTTGTTTCCTGATGTCATCTTTCCACCTCATCTGTGGTCTGCCTCTTGATCTCTTTGCATTGTATGGACGCCACTTTCCGATGGCATTGTTCCATCGTCCGTCTTGGAGACGCTCATTGTGTCCAGCCCATTTCCATTTCAGTTTTGCTGCTTGTTCTATCGCGTCTACTGTCTTTGTTCTGGTTCTGATCCACTGATTACGTTGTCTATCTTTAAGTGATATACCCAACATTTGTCTCTCCATTGCTCTTTGTGCCTTCCTTATCCTATCCAAATTGGTCTGTGTAAATGTCCATGTCTGTGCTCCGTAGGTGAGCACCGGTATTATACAGGAGTTATATACCTTGCTTCGTAAGTATAGAGGGATTGTTTGATTTTTTAGAACGTAAGAAAGTTTGCCGAACGCTGCCCATCTCATTCTTACTCGTCTCGATATTTCGGCTGTTTGATTTTCTCTGTTAGCTCTGATTGCTTGTCCTAGATAGATATACTCATTTACCGGTTCTATTACCCATAACATTATCTGTTGTAAATCCAACACCTTATGCCAACAATGAAACGTCTATGTTTGAAGCAATACCGAGTACATGTAAAATGCCATCTGCTGCACAGAAAATTATCTGCACTAACCAGTCAATACTACCTGGTTCTTTCAAAGAAAATACTCCTAGCTGCCAAAGACTTCGACAAGCTACAAATCAAATGAAACAACTTTTAGTGCTTCTAATACCGACGTTATGGAAACACTTAAAAAAGAATTTTCACCCTTTCAAATTCTGAAAGAAATTTCATCAATATCGTATAAAGCTGTTGAAGCTAGAAAACGAGCAAATCACGTGGACATTCTATTAACTTCTGAATGTCATATAAAGTTAAGAAAAGTGCAAGAACAGGAAAAAGTACCAAAGAAGGAA